ACCATGTTGTTGAGTCAACATTACTAACAAAAATGCTAACGGGGAGTTAACGTTTGGCTAATATTTTGAATTTTGAATTTTTTTTTAAAGATTTGGTTAATAAAATGTATTTACTCTGTTATATAATATACTAAATTTGGGTCTGTTGATAGACATATGTTACCATATGATCGTTAGGAGACTTCATGAACATTCACATGAAAATGAGGCAAGATTAGAGAAGTTGATCATCGGTATGATCTTTCTTAGCAAACACATGCATTTTTTTTGCAATAAAACACATGCATAACTAATAATATATTTACGGAATAAAATAATTTGATAAAAATTCAATGGAGCAAGAATAGATCACCTCATTGGATAAATGAAAATGATAAGTAAGAATAACTTTTCTCTCACTTATAATGTGTACTTCCATCCCTTATTTTCTTTTACAATTGTTCATATTTCCCCTTATTTTCTTAATATTTTACAAATCCCGGTAAAAAAGTATTAATTACACTTAAAAATAATTAAACTATTTTTAATATATATGCTATATATTGACAATAAATGTGGCCATATAGAAAATGCATATATTAGTATAAGTAATGAAAATTTTATTTCTAAACAAATACCAAACATAAATGAATTTTAGAAAACGAAGGTTTTACAAGTTGTAAAATTATACACTAATGCACCATATTAAGATCAAAATCCGTATGTGAGTATCTTGGATTGAGATTCTAAAATAATATATAAACAACGACAATGAGTCTCAGTATGTCCAAATTAAATTTAAGAAATTGGCAATTAATACATATTGTATAAGAGACTAAATACAAATAAGATCTTACAGTAAACTTCATGAACATCCAAAGTGTCAACTTTTAATTGGGATGAAGAAATTTATCCAATAATGAAGTATATGTACAAAGAAACTCTAACTAAGGTGTCCTCATCTGAACAACGTGGATTCATATAAGATAGAAAAAATTGTACATGGGACGTGGTATACCTTTGTGACATGGTTTATAATTAGAGAAGTCAAACATTATAAGTGAATGTGCCAAGTATTGAGAATTTTCAATATATAGACACACAACATACTCACTTATCAATACAAAATATAATAAATTTACAAGGTCTAAAATATTTTAAACATATAGATAAATTGAATTAATGTCAACGATAAAATGAAACTCTCCGGCCAACGTGCCGGTTAAAAAACTAGTTAAATATATTGTTGATGTGACTTGAATTGGACTATCGGTCGCTACGACTGGTAGTCGGGGGTCTTGCTGGACAGACCATTTATTCCTTTCTTGGTGTCTACTGGACAGACCAGCGTTGGTGACAACATTCATGACGACAATCGACAGCAGCTTCAAGATAATGCAAATGCTAGTGACAATGCTCATGTTGAACATCCTCTGCCGCAGGATAATCAAAATGTTGGTGGGAACAATGGTGGAGCAGGTAATGTATTTATGTTATCCATTAAGTTTTTAAATATATTGTAGATGTTACTTGAATCGGACAATCAGCCGCTACGACTGGTAGTCGGGGGTCTCGCTGGACAGACCCTTTATTCCTTTCTTAGTGCCTACTGGGCAGACCAGCGTTGGTGACAACATTCATGACGACAATCCACAACAGCTTCAAGATAATGCAAATGCTGGTGACAATGCTCATGTTGAACATCCTCTGCCGCAAGATAATCAAAATGTTGCTAGGAACAGTGGTGGAGCAGGTAATGTATTTATGTTATCCATTAAGTTATTAAATATATTGTTGATGTGACTTGAATTGGACTATCGGCCGCTACGACTAGTAGTCGGGGTCTTGCTGGAGAGACCCTATATTCCTTTCTTAGTGCCTACTGGACAGACCAGCGTTGGTGACAACATTCATGACAACAATCCACAGCTGCTTCAAGATAATGCAAATGCTCGTGACAATGCTCATGTTGAACATCATCTGCCGCAAGATAATCAAAATGTTGCTGGGAATAGTGGTGGAGCAGGTAATGTATTTATGTTATCCATTAAGTTATTAAATATATTGTTGATGTGACTTGAATCGGACTATCAACCGCTACAACTGGTAGTCGATGGTCTCGCTGAAAAGACCCTTTATTCCTTTCTTAGTGCCTACTGGACATACCAGCGTTGGTGACAACAATCATGACGACAATCCACAGCAGCTTCAAGATAATGCAAATGCTGGTGACAATGCTCATAATGAACATCCTCTGCCGCAGGATAATCAAAATGTTGCTGGGAACAATGGTGGAGCAGGTAATGTATTTATGTTATCCATTAAGTTATTAAATATATTGTTGATGTGACTTGAATCGAACTATCAGCCGCTACGACTGGTAGTCAGGGATCTCGCTGGACAGACCCTTTATTCCTTTCTTAGTGCCTACTAGACAGACCAGCGTTGGTGACAACATTCAAGACGACAATCCACAGCAGCTTCAAGATAATGCAAATGCTGGTGACAATGCTCATGTTGAACATCCTCTGCTGCAAGATAATCAAAATGTTGCTAGGAATAGTGGTGGAGCAGGTAATGTATTTATGTTATCCATTGAGTTATTAAATATAATGTTGTTGTAACTTGAATCGGACTATCAGCCGCTACGACTGGTAGTCGGGGGTCTCGCTGGACAGACCCTTTCTTCCTTTCTTAGTGCCTACTGGACAGACCAGCGTTGGTGACAACATTCATGACGACAATCCACAGCAGCTTCAAGATAATGCAAATGGTGGTGACAATGCTCATGTTGAACATCCTCTTCCACATAATAATTAAAATGTTGCTGGGAACAGTGGCGGAGCAGGTAATGTATTTATGTTATCCATTAAGTTATTAAATATATTGTTGATGTAACTTGAATCGAACTATCAGCCGCTACAACTGGTAGTCGGGGGTCTCGCTGGACAGACCCTTTATTCCTTTTTTAGTGCCTACTGGACAGACCAGCGTTGGTGACAACATTCATGAGGACAATCCACAGCAGCTTCAAGATAATGCAAATGCTGGTGACAATGCTCATGTTGAACATCCTCTGCCGCAGGATAATCAAAATGTTGTTGGGAACAGTGGTGGAGCAGGTAATGTATTTATATTATCCATTAAGTTATTAAATATATTGTTGACGTGACTTGAATCGGACTATCAGCCGCTACGACTGGTAGTCGGGGGTCTATCTGAACAGACCCTTTATTCCTTTCTTAGTGCCTACTGGACAGACCAGCGTTGGTGACAACATTCATGACGACAATACACAACAGTTTCAAGATAATGCAAATGTTGGTGACAATGCTCATGTTGAACATCCTCTGCCGCATGAAAATCAAAATGTTGCAGGGAACAGTGGTGGAGCCGGTAATGTATTTATGTTATCCATTAAGTTATTAAATATATTGTTGATGTGACTTGAATTGGACTATCAGCCTCTACGACTAGTAGTCGAAGGTCTCGCTGGACCAACCCTTTATTCCTTTCATAGTGCCTACTGGACAGACCAGCGTTGGTGACAACATTCATGACGACAATCCACAGCAGCTTCAAGATAATGCAAATGCTGATGACAATGCTCATGTTGAACATCTTCTGTCGCAGGATAATGACAATGTTGCTGGGAACATTGGTGTAGCAGGTAATGTATTTATGTTATTTGGGTTCAGGTTCTGGGCCTGGTCTGTAACCGTTTCCTTTGCGAGATTGGATTAGGTTTAGACCCACATGGAGAAGTACTATAAATACTTCTCATACTCCACTGTAATCTGTAATCTCCTCGATATAGTGAAACTGGCTCTCTCTCGCCCATGGACTAGCTAACACACATCATGTTAGTGAACCACGTAAATCGTGTGTCTGTGTTTTTCGATTCTTGCTTTCGTATTCTTGCTTTATCGATTCCGACGATTTCCCGATCCATAGCAGCGCGTTTATAACATATATTCTTCTATATAATTGGTTTAATTCTGTTTAATTATTTCACCTACTTGCAGCTCTTACTGGTCAGAGTGCTGTTGGTGATAATCCTCATGTCCCGGTGATTGCCATTGCACCTCAGGCATCCGATGCCAGCGATGCTCACAACTAAGAATCATGTGCTGGTCTTTCTTTTATCAGTTGGTGCAGATTGTTGTTTCTTTTGAACTACTGAGTATTGTGTTTTGTTTGTTTGATAACTTGGGAATTTTGTTGGTGAACACGGAATATAGATGGTTGTAATTGTGCTTTTGCAGTCTTGAACGAATTCCTGTTATTTGCTTTAGTTGTCCTTCCAGTCTTGAATGGATTCCTGTTATTTGCCTTTGTGATTTGATTTGATGTGCAACTAGTGCTTTGCTATGGAATGACCAGAAGCCATGGCCAGTCCCATGAGTTGTTAGTGGGCTTGGCTGGTGTAAGGTGGGTTCTGTAAGTGGGGTAGGAAAATTGGGAAATGAAGGTGGGAAGGCAAGGTAGCAGTGATAGCGTAGAGAGACGATTAAGTTTGATTGGTGAAAAATTGAAATTTAGCTCTTGGTTGTGGGTTGTCAATTTGGTTTATTGGTGAATTTAGTAGGGTATAATTAAATAGCTCTTAGTAGGTGAAGGCCATTTCGATTAGTATGTTACTAGATATTGTTTTTAACGCTGGATTGTAGTTGGCATGAGAATGTGATGGTTAACTTTGAAAACAAATTAGGGATGATGACTTTTCTTCTTCAGTTTTATACTTTTGTCGTGTTCATAAACATTAGTATGAAGCCCAGTAATATCTCATTACTCTACTCTATGACATGTGTGTATTTTGTGGATGAACATGCCATAAGATAGTCGTTATCTGATTACTACTTTAGTAAGAAGACAATTAACCTAAATTGTGTGGTAGTGTGGCATAACAATTAACATAGAGAAATCATCGTATGGTCCAAACTCCAAATTGTGATCAACAAAGCAGCCTAAATATGCAGGCTCCCAAGACCCAAGGACAAAAAGACATTCCCTAAGCTGTGTGTGATCCAAATAAAACAACCAAACATGGTTGCATTAAGACCAATAAACGGTTCGGGAGCAGCTGTGCAGTTGAAACTATTTCTATATGTTTCCTTTTCAAATGAACTCGACGGCCTCTTTCCCAGGGTGAACTTCAAATGAAATGTTGTCATTGGTTCCTTGTGAGGATAGCATCTAACTGTGGTAATGGATTGGGTAGATGGATGCCTACTATGCATAGCAGCCTGTGATCAAAAGATTTGCGCAGCGTAAGGGAGAGCAGTTGCCAGTCTTGTCCCTAACGACTATGACAATCCGAAACCTATAGGGATGAATCAAAAAATTTATATCAAGTTACATTACAAACACTACATATTGTTCAGTTAGTTCTGTAACTGTAAGGCTGATTTTTATTTTTGTACGAGTCATAAACCGTATAACGTTTGGGTAGCATTTGGAAAGTAATAAAATTATTAAAATAAACAAAGCAAGCAACCCCATACAACTTCCGAAATCATTCAATACCAGATCAACGAAAGTGGATAAGAAGGATATGCAGATGCAGTCTCAAAAATCCAGACTCTGTGCCAATCTGAACTTCTGGATATCTCACTCTCAGGTTGAAAGTTGATAATAACAAACACCTGGTATCTGCAAAAGCAAGAAGAACAAGTACGGTGAAGGTGTTCATAAAGGGCTTATCATGACCATAGAAGAGAAACCAACACTTCCCAAACCCACCATACAAGTTGATAAGCTCCTTCGAACGCCATCATCCTTCTTTCGGATCTGAGCCTTTCAGCACCTCCTGCTCCATCTGTTGGTTCAGCAAACAAAGCAACAACAACATAAATGATGATCAGAAAGCAGGCCACATAAAGAAACGCAGAGAGAAGAATACAGTAAAATGTCTCTGTTATATCTAGTCCTCACATGACTCATTTCTTTCTTTCTTTCTTTCTGACTCTTATTTTCGTTGCTCGTGCATTACTAGTAATTTTCATTAGTGCACAACTAACCGTAGCATAGAGTCACAAGCAGTAATAAGTACCAAGTATTGAAGAGTTGTTGTCAGTTCCGCTGTTGCTCTGAATCCAACAGCTGCAGCTTCCATCGTACATAACTCGCAATTCCTTGTACCTTGGGATCGAAGTAGGCCAGCAAGAGAATTGAACTTGGAACAAGTTCCAATACCTTAAGAATACTCTTGCTTCTGAGAAGAGCTCCACCTCTCCCCCTGTCCTCAAATCGCAGGACAAGGCAGATATTACACCAGCATCACCACGATGTTTGAGGAAGAAAACTTCCGGCTTCTCTGGATGCAAACAAGGCCTAAGATAGTGGCTAAGCTCATACAATCTCGACTTCTTTAGCAGCCCGTCACATACTTTCCTCCAAGACTTACGGTCTTGTTCCAGTCTCCAAACACTCGATGCAATCTGTGAACGATCAAGTCGAAGTGAATCTTCAAATGCAATGGCGTGCAAGGCGCCTTGCGAGACTGAGATATCCCACCCGGGTTTGCAGAACACTTCCGGAGCATCAATGGCAGTGGGAGGGATGTCGGGTCGGAAAGGATTAAAAGCAGCAATGAAAAATCTCGACCGGCAAACAACATCTTTATCTTGGTTCGGAACAGCATAACTCCAAAACAGCTCCCCATTGCAGGAAACCACATTTCTGGCTATGCATTGGTAATGATTGGGAAGAACAAGACGATCCTTGGTCCATTCTCCGGTATCCGAACAGAACACGTCTAGCTTTGTAGACGATCCACGCGAGTATAGGCGCACCACGCGGAATCGATACTCGGACGAATAAGCAAAGACTTGGTTATCTCCTAGATCGAGATCATTACACATGCGGGGTTCACAGACTAACCTTGTGAAGAAATACGGGCACCCTGCTGGCAATTCAGGCGCCAAAGGGAGGGCGAGCCATTCCTTGGTAAACGGATTGCAGAGGAAGTATGTTCCATACAATTCGCGGCTGGTTAGACCCACATTCTCAAACCCGCATAAGACCAGATCCTTGTAAGAATCCATTACTGCAAAGGACATACGGGATAGACGGCTCATAGGGAGAAAGCTCGTGATGATCGATTGCGGGTCGTCTGAGTGAAGAAGCAGAGGAGGTTGTTGGCTCCTGCTCCGGTGGTAAGAAATGAAACGGCGATTGAACCGTACTGGGTCGAAGATGAGAGAGCTCCACCGCTTGCAGACGAGCTTGCATCGGCAGGCGGACCTAGGGTTCGGCAGGGCGCGGATCAGAACCTCTACGAGGAGATCGTCTGCCAGTTTCCCGATCGGAGGGTATACTTCAGCTGAATGTGTCCGCGCTCGTTTGCTGGAGCTGCAAGGCATAAAACATGAGCCTAGCCGGCGCCCCAGAGCCGAGGTGCTGTTATCGGCCGACATGGTCATGGAGGAAGACAGAAACCATCGGAGTAAGGATTTCAGACGACCGGAAAGAGATCGAAACCCCTAATTTTTCTTTTTGGGTGTTGGACTGTTGGTTAATGGGCTTCCTTCTATTTTTTTTTGGGTTTCTACATCAAAAACATTTTTGGGCTCCTTGATGGGTTGGCAGTATTTAACATTTGGGGAAATAAGCTCATTCCCACGTAGTCCATCTCAGTGTTAGCGCCTGAAATGCGAATAAGCGGCTAGCCATTCGGTTCGAGAAAACTTGTTTAAAACTCTATTCCTTCACTAACAGGTTGAGTTTAAATTAAGTGTTGTTAAACTCATCTCAGTGGTTTGTTTAGCTCATTTTGTGAGTTGGCTCGTTTTGAGCGATTTATATCTTAACAAGTTGCCTTATTAATAATTATTAGTTTGTTAAATTATATATCTCATGTGTCATTTAAGAATTTAAGTATGTGAACAAATTTGTCTCATTTATAATTCAAAGATCAATTGTGTGTATATTTTTTAGACACTAATAACTATGAAATAATATCATATCAATAGAGTACATAAATATGGATTTAGCCCATGATAAAAAATTTGATTATTATTCTCTTTTTCTTCATTACATCAATCACATGTACATATATAATATAAAAATAGTATTGTATTTAATTTATAAATTATATTAAAGTTTATTTTAAGGATTTAACTATTAAGAATAAACGATTCGAGCTCGAACCAACTCGAGAAAGGAAAAATCGCCTCCCCTCGCCTCAATTGATGTATAACCCTATTTGTATGCTCCTCTTGTACAAAAAAAATGATGAAATGAATAGTATTGCATATTATAATCTCATAAAATTTCGTTTAATTTTGTGTTATTTTGGTGGCACTCGTTATTGGTGATATTACGGGTAATGAGTTCATAGGTATTTTACTGATTAGTTTGTCCTAGTTGGAAGGCAATATGCCATTGCATTGTCATACACTCATCTCTCTATTTTCACTACAAAAATTTGCATGTTCAATTCTATTTCTTTCTATTCTCCCTTTTTTATCTGGTGGCAACAATCGGTCGTCATGTCTTTCAACCTATCTCTGACGGCTCTGTCCCCTCTATATTTATGTATTTCTAGCTAGAAATAGAGGATTTAATTTCTTAATCGAAGAATGTGGATGTGGTCCTCTACTCCTCTCCCTCGATTGTAGGTGAATTTTTTTTAAGGATATGTTTATGGGGGAGTCTCAAAGATGAAGATCTTTTATTTTACTAAATATTATAGTAAACTTATAGATGATACATAAAAATATGATAAAGTTTACAAATTGTCCTTATTAAACAAATTAGGTGCTTAATATATACAATTACATATTAGAACCTGATGTTACAAACAACACATATACAAAAGTTACAAACTATAATTAAAATATTTAAAAAGATACCAATGACAATGTTACAAATTGAAATCACAATATTCAAATATCCCATTTTGCATATATGGGAAGCTATAAGCATTTCATATTAGGTCCAATTAATAGAACACCAACATATATACCTTTCTTGAAAAGTTGTTCTTCTTGTCCAGATATCACAAATCGCATTATCGTCTAGATGGTGGAAGATTGCTCAACATTTCTTTGAAAAAACAATATTATTAGAAGCATCCAAACAGAAGCAATGCTTTAAATAGTTAACAATAATAATATATCAAACCCACAAGGTTAAAAGGATGGGATCAATAGTGACTGGGTAGATGCATCAACATTTGGAAGTTCAATTGCCAGTGGACCTAAAATTCGAAAGTGAAGAGCACCAAAGTGCTGGGATTGACTAACAAAAGTGTGCTAGAAAGCCGAGTTTATAAAACAAAATATCTTAATGATTCATATATATATATATAACCAAAGCCCAAATCAAACAAATAAGATATGTGGATAGGATACAAACAATGAAGTTCAACATTCATTCATTTATCACAGCGGGTTGCCTATGTATTATGCTTTCGTAAGGAAGTTGTAAATAATTACGTTAGATATAGATAAATAAATTCTATCATGCATGCGGATTCACGACAATTGAGAAGGAGAAACTTATATAGAAAGAACGTTGTTAACCAGAGACGGAGCCAACGTGTATGAAGGGGGGCCATGACTTTTAAAATAGCATAAAACGTGATTAATGAACATGAAAAACAATGGCAGCCTAGTGGTTAAGGATGTAGTTTATAATCCTCCACCGTAGAGAGGTGGATGGTTCAAATCCCTGCACCAGCATTTTTATTCATTTTTTTTCACGTTTCTGTTTAGAATTAAATTGTTAAGCAATTCATGTAGATATATAATTTTACAGTTTTGTTGAAATTTTAAGTGGGTTTTATATAAAAAAACATTTCACGTTTCTGTTTAGAATTAAATTGTTAAGCAATTCATGTAGATATATAATTTTACAGTTTTGTTGAAATTTTAAGTGGGTTTCATATAAAAAAATATTTGTGCGATTTAAATGGGGTAAAAGTCACATTTGGTCACTGAGATTACTAAATCGTGTCATGTTTAATCACCAGAAAAATTTAATATCAATTTTGGTCACTTAATGGAGTTGTACGAAAACTAACACGAGAGTGACAAAATGTGACCTATTTCAATAATTCGAGTGACTAAATGTGACATGTTTCAGTAATTCGAGTGACCGGAATTGGACGGAAGTTAACATGAGAGTGACTAAATGTGACCTGTTTCAGTAATTTGAGTGACCAAAATTGATATTAAAATTTTCTAATGACTAAACATAACACGATTTAGTAATCTCAGTGACCAAATGTACCATTTACCCGATTTTAAATGTGATATGTATATGTTTTTACATATATTTTGACATTTTTTTACAGTTTTGATAAAAATTTAAGTGGGTTTTATATAAAAAAAATTTTGAGCGATTTAAATGTGATATGCATATGTTTCTACATGTATATTGAAAATTTTTTCGGCCCCCCCTAATCAAGAATCCTGGCTCCGTCCCTGTTGTTAACCATCCAAAACTACTGCATAATATTAGAGATGATCTCAAGACAGAAGTAAGAAGACAATTGGGGAAAAGTAGCTCATTATGATGCTCACACGAATCACAAAATGAAATTTCATATGCATCCTTCCATGACTAATTGACTATACAGAGCAACAACCTGCATATACGGTAGATACAAAAGGGGGAAAAGTGTAGTTAGTAACTCAAACCACCAATATCAGTAGACAAACTTTTCAGTAGGGATACTTCCCGGCGACGACGCCGACGTAGTCGTCGACGATCCGGTGGAGCCGGCCACGGTCGTAGTCCTTCTTGGACAAGATGGGCTGGTAGATGAAGTGGATGATGGAAGCCACGCTGAATGGAAGGTAGAATACATGGGCCTCGTCGGGGGTTTGGGCCCTAAATGGGCTTTTCCCGCTCTCCATCTCGTCCAAGAACTGGCCCTCGATGGAGTAGATGTTGTTCATGGGAGCTCGGTGGACCAACGGCCTCTCCCCTTCTTTGTACGTAGTTTACCAGTGTCTTATCTCATTCCCTGTAGTTTACCTTGAACCTCTTCACTGTAGTTTACCAGTGTCTTATCTCATTCCACTCAACTGAGTTCGACTGAAATTCAATCAATTCTAGATACAGAAGAATTTGTTCGAATGGAAATGACTAATCACTTAACACTACTATTTCAATCGAATAAGAAAGCAAAAAGGCGAAAGAAGCAGAAGGCAGACAAGCTACGAGCCACGCCCGGATTGCGTAGAGTTCCTGGCAAACGCCCCAACTCTACGAATCCAGACACAACACCTTGGAACCCAACTATCCCAAGAACTAACCAGTTCTTCCCGATAGCGGAAACCGTTGCCTTCACCTTCAGAATTGAGCCGTTTATAGAGATTCTCGGCATGCACCTGCGACCTATCTCTCTCTTCATGAATGTTCAGACCGTTGGACAGAGTATTCGGGGAGAATAGATTTTGATGCAGACTGACTGGGAAGATGTTTTTCCAGGAAGCTTTGATAGCTAGGGATTTTGGGATGAAGGCGAAGACGCTCAAGTAATCTCGTATGGGTGGACTTCTTTGGAAAGTGGACTCTTTGGACTTGATTGCGAGTGGGCTATGACCTGTTCGACGAGATGCCAGTGGGCCGAGGCCCAACAATCTCCCCCTGCGTTCGAGCTTTCATTCCTGTTGTCAGCAACACAAGATATCAAAGCATCGAGTGTTTGATCTTTCTCACAAAAATGCAGAGAATCAATGAGCGAGAAACTTTTAACTCGATCAGTAAGAATGATGACCAGATTTTATTCATGCGGCAGTAGGTATAATTCATTAAGATAGATCACAGAAAAATAGACATCACTTATTGATCCTTATGGTCAAGGTAAACTTTTTATTTATGAAGAGCAACCAGCATTGAAGGACAAGATCAGGTAGCACACTCAGACCATTATGGTCGACTAGCAATAAACAAAAACATAGACTAGATCAGACAACACACTTAGACCATTATGGTCTTATTCAGCAAGAGACATATTCAGCAAGTCATTTATTTGAGGAACCAGGGTTTAGCATGCATCAGGGGCAGGACTGTTTTTCGGCTCCCCCTGAGTCCCAGCCATATCTTCCATCATGTTGTCCTCCTGAGTTCCAGTGGCCTCCTCCATTAATCCATCAGCTCCTTCCATCATTTCTCTTTCCAGATCTGCAGCAAACAGTCTGATGTCTTTCTCAGACACTGTTTCTGGTTCAAGTTCAGCTTCTTCCTCTTCAAAGGTGATTATTAGGTTCTTTCGAATGGACGAGTCAGAATTTTCAAGATTCAGGGTTTTAGACCTGTTTTTGATTGGCCTAGCATTTGCTGGGTCCAGGGATCCTCCCCCTTTCGAATGCTGAGGCTCAATACTTAGTTGGAGGAGGACAGTGGTGGCAGGGACATAAACAGAAGTATCAACAGATGAATAGCCATCTAGAGATATGCCAAGATTGGC